CGTTCTCGGAGGAGAGCCAAGGTCCTTTGAACACCTGGGTGTCCAACATACTTGGTGTCATGACATTCTCGAAGGATATCTCTCCTCAAGTTCTCCCATTTTGGAACGTACATTCGGTAGTCTTTCATCACGACAAGTCCATCTTCCAGAGAATACTTCTGAGTCCTCCCTTCCTCGATTTGTTCGAACACGGCATGTGCAAACTCATAATGTACTAAGCCCTCTCTTATCCGATCCACAACATCTCCGTCAACGAAATATAGGGTCACCACCTTGCGGCTCAACGCGTCAGCTACGGAATTAGTCTTCCCAGGTTGATACTTGATCTCGAACTTGAATTTTGCGAGGAAGTCGAGCCACCATGCCTGTTTTCCTGTTAGTTTCTTCTGGAACAATACTGGCGCACCAAAAGGGCTCTTTGATGGAATAATGAACTTGGCATCCAAGAGTTCTCCCAACTGTTTTCGCAACTCTGTTAACACATCAGAAGACATCCGATAGGCAGGTCGAGAGACTGGCTTTGCCCCCTTTACTAGGTCAATAGCATGGTCTATAGCTCGTGGTGGAGGCAACTTACTCGGCAAGTCGTCTGTCATAATATCCTCGAACTCCTTGAGGACTGGCTCTAACTTCCGGGGTGGGTCTTCAATTCTCTTCTCTCCTTCTCCTGGGACATCCTCATCGCTCAAGATAGCGGCAAAGGTCGGCTCTCCTCTCTTTAGGCCTTTCTCAAGTTGTTTCGGACTGAGCTCCTTCTCTCGGTACACTTTTATGTCGCATGGTGTCCCGCCTTCAGTAATGCTGAACTTCTGCTCGTGTGGCACCATTATAGGTTTCACGTGCTCTATGAACTTCATTCCCAAGAACACGGCGTAGTCATCCATGGGAGCTATGTTAAAGGTCTCAGTACCTTTCCAACTATCGAGCTGCATAGGCACGCCCATTGCTACTCCCTAAATAGGGGTCCATCCGCTGTTGACTCCCTTGAATCGACCTCCAGATGGCGTCCACTGTATGCCGATCTTACGGGCCACCTGTTCGCTCATGTAGTTGCCGTCAGCTCCCGTATCCAGTAAGCACATTGTCAATACTCCATTTATCCATGCGTTCACAAGCATCCTTCATCTGCCATTTCAAGCAAGCCACTTGGTCTTCTACTGGTTCGCTTTGCTCGGCTACTGCCACAAGGCCTCCCCGGTTCGGACAATCTCTAGCATAATGATCCTTGCTTCGGCAGGTAAAACAACCGTCGCTCGGCCCGGGTCTTCTAGTACTCACAACCCGATTCAGAGGCAGTGGTCGCATGCTGCCGCCTTCGCCTGTTCGTGGGGTTTGTCGGTTCTGGTCTCCCCCACTTTTGCCTTGGCTAGGCCTTCTTGACCTATCGTCTCTGCTTGGCTCCTTTCGTTCAACCTCAAGTAGCCATTGTCCGTATCTTATCGCCTTGTTGACATTCATGGGGATCTTCTCTTTGATCCTTAGCTTCGCCCATGGCCTGAGGCCCTCCAAGAATGTTAATAATGCCTCCTTTGGGGACATGTTCGGTACTTTCAGCAGCAGGTCCGAAAATTTCTCGATGTAGTCCTTTAGATGGCCTTCTCGATGCTCCAATCGATGAATCCTGCACTACGCCTCCTCCTCGGCATATGTTGGTGCGAACTTCTCTTTAAGCTCTCGCTTAAATAGTCTCCATATAGTGATGCCTCTCTCATCATCGTGTGTTCCTTCATTTCGCCTCCACCACGTGCGGGCCAAGCCCTTCAAATATCACGATGCAGTTTGGATCTTGGCTTTTATCTCCCATGATGCCAGAATCCTCGAAGTATTTCTCCATATCGTAGAGGAAGTCGTCCACCGCTCGAGCCTTGTGCTCCCTTACGTAGCTCTCGGGACACGGGACGTTCCCCCTCGGGGCTGCCAGGGCAACTTCAGTTGGCCTCATTGCCTGAAGTTCGGCTACCGTTGCCCTCAACGTCACCAACTCCTCTTAAACCCTTGAGGGCTCCGTTCTTGAAGGTTCCGCAATCTTCGCTTTTTCCAGCCTTGCGATCTAGACCTTGCACTCAGCCACAACCTCTTTCAACACGACCACCTCGGCCCTCAGCGCCACATCAAGCTCCATCATCGCTAGCTCCCTATTTCGGGACTCCTCCATTTCAGCATCGATCGAGGCCAGTATCCCTTCACGCGGCTCGCTTCCCTCGAGCTCGCAGATACGCTGCTCCACCTCGTCGAGCTTGTCGTGGTGATCTCCGACAGTCAGCTCCACCTTAGCCAACCTTCCGTCAAAAGTCCCCATGACTTCAGCAGCCTTATCCTTGGCGTTCTTCCTGGTCCGCCTATGAACTTGGTTCTCGACCTCGTATTCAGCATCTGACTTGTCTGTCGCCATCTCCTCATAACAAAGCTCTGATACCACTTGTAACGGGTCGGATGGTTCCTCCTCGGACACCTTCCCGTCGGCCTAGCGATTCTTCGACTCCCTCGAGAACTCTCTAGTGCAACCTCGCACACGACTCCAATACCTGTTAAAAGTAAGAACACTATAAGATGCACTCGGCAAAGTAGAGTGTTTTATTGATTCAAAACTGGAGTGAAGTACAAGTGAGGACTCCTCATCTTTATATAGGCACTCTATCACGGATACGCTAAATATTAGCAAGATATGGATACGCCATATCTTATCAAATCCACACTTGGATTTGTTATATCTTCACAACCTACGGATATAGATATCTAAGTATAGATAATCTAAATCTAATTGATAATATCATCAATTCGGTTGAGGGGCGATCTCGGGACTTCTAGAATGTTCCTGAATATTCCGGGAGGTTTCGGAACATTTTGAAGGATCTCCGCTAACCTCTCCGCGTCAGTGTGCCGCTGACTCGGCATCCATCTGCATCTTCCTCGACGTCGGTCGGCCACTCTTTCGATCTGTGACACAAGGAATTCATTAGAGAATGAGAATTAATTATTTTATTTTGTAAAACAGAGAAGTTGAGAAATGTAAAAAAGTTTGACTATTTGGATGGATCGACCAAAAATAAATGAGTAATCGGGTTAGAAAAAATTTTAATGTGTGAGAATCTATGAAAAAATATATATTTTTAATTTTTTTTTGTTTAAACAATAAATTAGATATGATGTTATGTAGAATTAAATTTTAGTATAATTTTTTTAAAAATAATAAAAAAAATAAATAATTGAATACTAAATTAAATACTATATTTTGTAAGATTAAAATAATATAATTTTAAAATCATAAAAATTAAGTAGTTCAAAAAAGTATAAAAAATACATATCAATATACAACTATCTACATTTCTCCGTATAAAACCAACATTAAAATTAAATAATTCAGAAAAATATAAAAAATGCAAATCTATATACAATTGTTTGTATTTTCTGAAAAATAAAATTAAAACTTAAAAAATAATTTATTTTTGAGTAAAAAATTTTTTTGTCCCATTAAAAAAAATTATCAATTTTGGTCTCACTCAAATGAAAAGTTATCAATTTTAGTCCCAAAATGGTTGACTGGGAGTGAACACAGCCGTGTTAGCTTGAACACGGCCGTGTTGGATGACTCAGAAGGTGACTGGGCATCCCAGGCAGCCAATACGGCCGTGTTGGTCTCAACGCGGTCATGTTGATTACCCTGCACTTCTGAACACGGCCGTGTTCCTGCCCGTGTTCTGAACACAGCTATGTTCTAGGTCATGTTCCTGTCCATGTTCTTAACACAACCATGTTCTAGGTCATGTTCCTGCTCATGTTCTCAACACAGCCATGTTCTAGGCCATGTTTACGACCATGTTTTCAATATAATCATATTGTAGGTCATATTTATTATTTTTTTCACTTTTTGGTTAAAATTATTTGATATATATTTATAATTTAACAAAAATATTTTTTACAATTATTTTATAATATAAAAAATAATCATTTTTTAATATTTTTAAAATATATAAAAATAATAATATTTTAAAACAATACTCCCTTAGTCCCACGTTGGATATCTGGGTCACTGTAGACCCAAGAATTTAGGATAAGTATAATTAGTAGATAATTAAGAATGTATTAATAAAAATAATTATCATATATATAAATAATTATAAATTAAGATTAAAATAACTCATTAGTTTAATTAAAATTAAAATTAAATTAAAAAAATAGTGTGTAATTATTTAAAAAAAAAAAGAAAGTGACATGGGATGTGGGACGAATATAAACGGCAATGTAGACATGGTAAGTGGGACGGAGGGAGTATCATTAAAAAATATATATTAATATATTATTATTTTTATATATTTTAAAAATATTAAAAATTGATTATTTTTTATATTATAAAATAATTGTAAAATATATTTTTGTTAAATTATAAATATATATCAAATAATTTTAACCAAAAAGTGAAAATAATAATAAATACGACCTACAATATGATTATATTGAAAACATGGTCGTGAACATGGCCTAGAACATGACTATGTTGAGAACATGGACAGGAACATGACCTAAAACATGACTGTGTTGAGAACATGGGCAGGAACATGGCTGTGTTCAGAACACGGCAGGAACACGACCGTGTTCAGAAGTGCAGGGGTGTTGAGACCAACACGGCCGTGTTGGCTGCCTCGGACTCCCAGTCACCTTCTGAGTTATCTAACACAACCGTATTCAAGCCAACACGGCGTGTTCAGTCCCAGTCAACCATTTTGGGATTAAAATTAATAAATTTTTATTTGAATTAGATTAAAATTGATAATTATTTTTGAATGGAACCAAAATTGATAATTTTGATATTAAATGGAACAAAAAATTATTTTTACTATTTATTTTTCAACTCTCATTCTTTAGGAAGCAGGACTATTTCCCCCAAATACACCTAAAGAATAGAGATGTAGTGCCATGTGATATTGCCACGTGGAAGCTAAGAACATAAACGGATGCAAACCTATTTATATTCCGCTCTTTATTCGCCCTTTCCGTTCCGCCTCTTCTCTCCTCTCCCTCCCTCCCCCCTCCCCCCCTTCTCTCAGCCCTCGCCTCTCACGCACTTCCAAACCCTACATCTGTTAGGATTCGCCCCAAGTTTCTGTGTTTCTGTCGCTGGATTTCACTTTTCTTTCATTTCTTTTTGTGAATGGCCAGCTCTACCACCAGCGGTGTTTATATCCATGTCATCGAGGACGTTATCAACAAGGTCCGCGACGAGTTCGTCGGCAACGGTGGACCAGGAGATGGCGTGCTGAAGGAGCTTCAAGGAGTAATTGTGTTTTCCTATTTTTCTTAATCAAGTTTTATTGAATCTTAGGTTGGATTGTGTTTTAGGGTTTATAGATATGTTACTATGTGATGCTCGGTGATGCCTATGGAATATCGGGTTATGAGAAATTACGATTGATTTGGGTGGTTATCGATATTTTCTTGGGGTGGATGATTTGATGAAATTATGCCTTTTTCTGTTTTTGGATATCTGCAGTTGTGGGAACTTAAGATGATGCAAGCTGGAGCAATTTTGGGTCCCATAGACAGGACAACTCAAAAGGCTGGGGTAGATGGTGTTACACCTAATGCTGTGCATGACCTAAATGTGCCCTATGAAGGAACCGAGGAGTATGAAACTCCAACTGCCGATATGCTCTTCCCTCCGGTGAGACTAATTCTTTGTGCCAGCCCCATTCTTCAGTATGAAATTGAACTCTATGTTTGAGCATGGCATTCTTTAATATGAATTTGATAAAAGATTAGATTTCTCTATGTAACCATTTTTTCTTCTTGGGGGTCAGACTCCACTGCAGACACCTATGCAGACACCACTGCCTGGAGCTGGGCAAACTCCATTGCCAGGAATGTCTCAGACGCCATTGCCTGGAACAGCTCCAACTCCTCTTTCTGGACTCGACAGTGGTTCTTTGTATAGTATTCCTACTGGGGGCACCCCAATTACTCCTAATGAGTATACATCCAATAATGAAAACGGTGGTGTGCCTGAGATTAATGCTGGTCATGGAAGACCTAGTCCGTATATGGTAATCATTATTTCCTGAACCTTCTTGTTATAATTGAGTGCCATGTTTTTGTCAAATTTACTGTAATTTGTTTCTGTAAAGTAACACTTACATATATACAACATATTTTAATATTCTTCTAATCAATTTTGCTTTCTGGTGCATAGCAGAACTAATAATTTTAATTATTTGTCTTGCAGCAGCCACCTTCTGCTTGGTCAAACCAAAGGCCCCCTCTTGATGTGAATGTTGGTGAGTGCTATTTTGAATTTCTCATAACACTTATAGACTCTCTTAAAATATAACATAGTCTTTAACTAACCGCTTAGGGCTTTTTTACTTACTTTTACTAATTTATTATATAAATGTTAATTGGTACAACCAAGTGAAAAAGGTCTTAGAAGAGCGACAAAGTGAGAAAATTGTAAACTGTTGTCAGGAAATCTATTATTTCGTTCTTGCATCTCTTAAATTACTTCTCTTGCAGCTTATGTTGAAGGTCGGGAAGAGAATCAGAAAGGAGGACCCCACCAGCCAACAACTCAGGTGATTATTATTAATTGGATGTGATTTCGAGATAGTTCAACACGAGTCTATGATATCTGTGAATGTTTACAAGAAAGGGAATTGATAAAATAGTATTAGTGCCAATGAATCGTTAAAGTTCAGTTTTAATTGGTAAAAGATCCATATGTATTACAATCATTAGCAGTTAGAAGTTATTTCAGAGACAGGTTCTGCTGGCACACGAAAAATCCTTACTGTACTTGACTGAAGATTTGTGATTTTGATTTTGAGGGCAAACAGCTCAATAGTGAAAGCTGATTACTGAAATGGTGTTATGGATTAGAATTTCGTTTGGTGTTAACATTCTTCTCTTAATTGCTTTAGTATTGAGTTCGTGGGAACTCTTTATCTTGACAAGTATGTAGAGTTATATTACACCTATTCTCAATTCAAGATAAAATATATTACTTCCTCCGTCCACTAAGATCATGTCACTGTTCTTTTTTAGTTGTCCGCTGAATTTACGTTTATTCCATTTATAGTAAACAATTTTATCTATTCATAATTTTATTATCCTTATTTTAACAAATTTAAATGAACAATTTGCTACTATATTTTTCTACTTACCCTATCACTTTTTATATCAATTTTTGATATATTTCCCATAATACTCCAATTTACTTTTTACCTACCCCATTTTAACATATAACCTAATCTAATAACTTCGTGAAGATTTTAGTTTATATATCATTGAATTTGGTGGTTGAGTTATTTTGAGAATCTATAGTAAGTTACTACATGATCACTGTATCACTCTGCTTATTGAGTTAAGACTGGAAAGTTGATTTCAAGAACATTTTGAATTGCATATGCCATTGTGATAATAGGTATCACAGTAACTTCTGTGAAATTAATTATATGTCATAGCATCTGGTGGTTAAATTCTATTTCAGCTGCTATATTCTCTAAGATTTATTACATATCAGGGATGTATTTCTGTTGATATTGCTCATGGACTTGGTTTGTGAAAACTAATTTTAATAGATATGGAAATTAGTCTACATTTTCTATGTTGTGTTTTTTATAACCTGATTTATCGTGCCTTGGATCTTGTTTTTGTTTGTCCGCATGGTTGTAAAAGGCATACAATGGCTCACACCATGTGGTCGGGACATCATCATTATGCCATTATCCATGGCAATGCGCATGCCTTTGGTCTTTTGCCATGGAACAGTGGCATGCACCATGGATTATTCGTTGTTTTTTTAGTTCTTTTTCTTCTTCTTCTCCTTCATAGTATTATTTAATTTCTAAACCTCGTTAATACCCTTTTAGCTGTAAAATCATGTTCCCGCTTCTCTGCTGCTTAGTTTCCTTCATCCGCTGCTTCTCCTGTTTGTCTTACTCCTTCAATCTCATCCACTCTGCTCCTCTAGTCCTCCACTCTTACCTACTGTGTTAGTTCGATTTATTTTGTATAATAATATTATTTAATTGTATTATTGTCTCAGCATTCAACTAAGTGTGCATCAGTTGAAATGAATTGGAACTATAGCATACTTCTGAATTCTAATGCAAAAGATATATATAATGTAATGTACAGTGTGTTCTTGGTGTGTTTATTTCTGTTTTGTGTTTATGGGTGATGTTTTCAAGGTGGAACTAATTCTTTGACGTGATATTTTGTATGGAAAATGGGTATTGGATATGATGTTTTTGGAGGGAAAATTAAAGATTAAATAGTTAAAAAATGGTTAGAAACACAATAACAAACCCGTAAATTTTGTAAGACAGACTTTTAAAAGTGATATGGCAGGATTACAATATCTTGCAGGAGGAAACTACTATGCACATATATATTGAATGCATGCATGCATGTGTGTATATATATATATATATATATATTAATTAATATATTAACGCTTATGGGTGTGCCGCATGCCATTTACAACTTGCTATTTTTACATCTGGATATTGGTTTATGTATGAGAGTGTAACAGAAATACAATGTAAGGCTATTAAAATGACACATTGCATTATTGGTATATATTTATTGTCATAAAGCTCAACAATTAATAGGGGGAGCTGACACAATGGCTTCAAGCTTCTTGAATAACTCTCCAAACCTGTCACATAGATAATATTAGTTGTTGTAAGAAAAAGAGATTATTGGAATTGAGGCTATCCTTTGAAGATTTTGATTATATTTACTTTTGAGCTTTGCAATCTATCATTGAGGTTTATGCTTCAGCTCAACGAAATAGTTGCCAACTTAATTGAGCTCAATTCATTTCTAGGAAATAACACCTTATTGAGTTGTAAATAAATTTGTTTGACTCTAATTTTTTTAATTGCTTATAATTCATAGCCAATTATTCCTGATATAGGTAATGCTATAATGATTAGTAAGATAAACCCATTTGTCTGTTGCTATTTTGTGTTTATAGCATTGAAAAATGTGCATTCCTCTAAATTTGAGCAGGTTATTTCATTTTGATACATGCAGTATAATATATCCACATCTACTGATTCAAGTGTGGAAATTTGTTATCTAGCATGTACTCACTTTAAACCAGTTTCATGGCTGTTTAATGTAAAATAATTATTAGTCTCTATAATCTGTATCTTGTATGACGTGGATATTTAACACGATTTCAAAGCTTCACCAAACAATGTGTGCTGTAAATAAATATTGCGTTAGGCTTTGCATGTGAGAAGTTCACTAGTGTAATTTAAATATAAATTCCTGCTAAAAACTTTTAGAACCATTGGGTTAGTCCCTTCCACCAAAGTCAATTTTAGATAATGCCTATAATAAAATCAGGAAAAATGGATCTAGGCAGCTAAGATTTACAAGATCACTTTAGAGCAAGACATGTATTAGCCACTGAATGATATCCATGAAAAGAGGAAACAGTTGTGCAAGTTTTTGATTCTTTGTAAATTACACTTGTTTGTAAATGGTTAATCTAATCTCTTTTTGCTTAATCTATAATTATAGTGATTAATCCTTGAAAATTAACAGACCTGGGGTGTGTTTGTTTTGTGAGATAATATGAATGGTTATTTTTTTTTTTATGTGAGGTATGGAGAATTGTGTAGAGAATATAAAAATAATGAATGTGTGTGATATATTAATATTTTTGGGAAAAGGTGTGTATAAAATGTCAAAAGAACACACCCCTGATCTCTGTCAACTTTACAGTTTATATTTTTTCTTATACTTTGGTGTGTGATTGATTGGATCATTTTCTAAACCTGAAAAGAAGGGCAATACAGTCATTAAAGAAGACATGCCTATATTCTACGCAAAAAGTAGAAGTCATTTTAGACCAAATAAAGAATAGAATATAATATCTTTCTGACAGAGCAAACCCCTCAATAGTAGTCTTTCTACGACAAATTCATTTATATTAAGTGTCTGGTTGCATTTATTTTAGCATTTGTCTTAATGCTGGGGAAATCGATGCAGGATTTTTTTATGCCTTCTGGAAAGAGAAAGCGAGATGACTTTCCTCCACCTTACCATACTGGTGGATACATCCCACAGCAAGATGGAGCTGGAGATAATTTATCAGATGCTGCGGAGGTATATTATTTTGTCATCAAGTATCTCCAATGGCTCCCATTTAAAAGAGATTATCATTACTGAACTATCTTAAATTATTTTGCACATTATATGTTGCACTTATTTTGTTTGTTTGGTTCGTGGGGTGCATGTCTGTAACTTGAGAAACTGAGCTCCATTTTGGAATAATGCCTGGATCTTACTTGTCTCTTTGATGGTTTCTTTTGTTATGTACACATTGTGTAGGCTAATTCATGTACAAGTGACAGGCATTTGTTTAATGCACCAATTTGATGGGCTTTTCTTTATTATTATGATCTTGCTTTGGTATTTCTAGTTTTCAATTTTTTATTTTCAAGTCATCGTTAGTCTAAGAAATTCAAATGTAAAGACATATATCAAAGTTCTTCCTGGGATTTTCTGAATATAATAAAAAAAATAATTAGGTGACCAACAATATCTAGCGTTTTGTTGTGTATACTTGTGTTTGTGTGCAAGCACCAAATTAGCTTTACATCATGTGGGCTGTCATCTTGTTGAGTGGAATATTTCCAGCTTTAACTCTATGTTGCACTTTGCAATATTGAATACTGTTTACACTGGAGAGGGAAACATAGCACTCATGGGCTGCTTATTCGGCTGTAGATCATTAAGAATTCTCAACTGACTTAGAAATTTGTTTTCGTTTTTCTGAAGCTTAGTTTCTATTATCACTTGACAGGTGGTTAAAGGTGATTCCCATCAAATGTCTATTCAAGGGGGAGTGTTACCTTCTATGAATAGGATTCCTCAGCTGGATGGTCAAGTGCCTGACCCTTACGATGACATGCTTTCTACTCCCAATGTGAGGTTTCTCCTCTGGCTTGTTGAACATGCAAATCCATCAAATGGTAGTTTTATGTTAACGACTACTATCATGTGTTGAGCTGTCATATTTTTTAAAAAGTAGATTTTGTGAATCCCATAATATCATATTTTATTCTGCAGAAATCTTTTGAGCAATGATGGATGAACATATATTTTTTGTCGGCATCTTTTTTCTTTTGACATCTCTGTGGTTAGTAGTTAGTATTGCATTTATTTACCTTTTTACGTAGCATGATATCAATCAAGATACATGAGGAATTACTCCATTTAGATGGTGTGAATTGGCGTGGGGGATGGATGAACATATAGTTTGAGTTGAACTTTTGGGACCCAACATTTGGATTTTAAGGGTGTATTAGGAAGGGGAGTTATTCGCATTCTGTTGTACCTAAGCTTGTTTTGTGAGTGGTATCTTCAACAACTAGGGAATTCTACCTTCAAAATTAATTACTGATAACTATCATTATCATGTCAGAACGATTACGGCTTCATTCAGTAGACCTTCCTTGAAAAAATCCTTTCAAAACATTGACATGGAGAAGATTTTCAATATAGACATGGATACGGAGATCTCTGTTAGTTGCTATTGTGTCTCTTAAAGTTCTTACATTATAACCTTGGAACTTTTATTTGTTTTATATTTGTGTTATAGACTGCCAACTTGAGAATTTTGGATAAATTTAGCAACACTGGTCTTCAAAGTCGCATTTCTTAGATTTCTGTAGATGTTTATTGACCATTCAGGATTCCCTTCATGACTCAGCTGGATGTCGCTACATTGTGAATCACTTTTTTGCGGTTGGTCTTTTCGGAGATTTGAATTTTTTTTAATCTGTTTTCTTTAGGACCTATGTGCTGAAGCAATCCTGAGATTGCTTTAATTGATACCTGAAGTTTGTTGGTTGTTATATCAGATTTGTAATACAGAATCTTAAAATAACTGAAATAGAAATCTTAATTTGCCTGGACAGTTGGTGACGTCCCAAATTTGATAGCAATAACACCTATAATATACTTAATCCGAGTTTGTTCCGACCCACCATTCTGAAATCTTCTTGCTAGATGCCATTATAACTTATTTACTGAGTGAAAAGTAAGTACAAGTTTTTGTGTTGATTGGTGACCAACATTTTCTAGGTGGTGCAAATCAGGTTGGCTTGTTTACGCATTTTCACATCTTATTAATTCCGCACTCATCTTTGTAGTTTATTTGGTGGTATAATTATCATTCCCACCTTAAGGCACAGTTGTACATCCATTATCATCACCTCACTGCTATGTCCTCTTCTAAACTTAAGTGTCAAATTCTTATTTTCCAAGATATACAACTACCAAGGAGTTGTAAATGAAGATTACAATGCGGTGAACACCCCTGCGCCTCACGGTAATGTTTTTCATCTAATTGGATTACTTACCTGGTTCGACAAGGTATTATTTCCTCTCTGATTTTCTGCTTCTAGAGATGCAAGCTGCTACTCCTGCTCCTGTTCAGAACGATCCTGCGGATGATGACGAGGACGAGCCCTTGAATGAAGACGACGACGACGATGAGCTTGACGATGTCGACGAAGGGGATGATGAGAACACAATGCATTTGGTAGTAGCTCAGTTTGAAAAGGTGCGAGAGTTAACATTTCCCCTGTTGATGAAATCCAATTCTACTCGAAGAATGCTATCATATCATGCCTTTCTCAATGACTGATTGAATTGCCTCTTCATATTCGATTTTGATTCAGGTGACGAGGACCAAAAGCAGATGGAAATGCACACTGAAAAATGGCATTATGCACATTAATAATAAAGATTTTATGTTCAGTAAGGTAAATTTTTTCTTTATAAACGCACCTCTACCTCTTCCATTTATCATCTGTCGGGAAACCTGGTAAACACGTTACTGTTTGGTGGTCTGCTCAGGCTACCGGAGAATTCGACTTCTGATTTTTGGTGAAGCAATGGATTGAATATGGCTTGGCTGGGGTGACTAGGGAAAACTTTTCGTTGGTCGAATTGAATCAGGACAATGCTCATCATGCCAAGCCATGTACATACAGAGGTTCGACTCCAATATGCTGAATTTAAAAAAACAAACCCTAGTATCGAATCCTGTAAAGTTAAATTGCTGTCTGTGTCGTTTCTGTATTGGATCAAAAATTCTTAAGTGGTGCGGCGTCTTCGTGCTACTTTGGGAATGAAATGGGATCTCTGCAGAATTCCATGGAACTCCTCCATAGATGTACTCTCAAAGTTTTGGACTTATTAGCATCATGACTGACTGTCCTTTGCTTCGCTTCTGCTTTCAGCTGCAATTAAAATATAGATGATGGTATTTTTCTATCCAAGGCTGTTTTTTTATTTTTTATTTTTTGAGATTTTTAGTATTTATGTTTTTTTCTTTAAAAATATTAAATTAAATATTTATATTTTATTTTTATATCATATTGACAATTAATCTTATATTTATTACATTGCATTAATATGTGTCTATATCATAGTTAATAATTTATTTAAATTTTAAATTTTATTATTTAAAATCCCCAAACAATGAGATAATATGTTAATGGATATTTTGAATAGAAAAGAAAGTTACAGTTCACTTAATTAAAAATTTTGAACATGTTTTTTAATTAATATTATTAAAAATATAATATATACTATGTTTTTATAAAAAGTATTATATATAAACGATTGGGATTATATTAATGTTATCTATTCTATTACAATTTTTAATCCAATGCCTTTCATTAATTTAGGAGTTTAATACTAAATCTTTTATTCTCTTAATTTATATAACTATCTAGTTTTTCTATTCTCTTTTCTCATTAGCTTCGGTATTCCATAAAAAAAAAATCTAGAATCTTTCAATAACCTAGAATCTTTCAATCGAATTAATGGATGAAATCAATAGAGATGAGCAAAATTAATTATCTATTATTTTAATTCCATTAGTCACTAAATTACATTTGGACAATTGATTTGAAATCATAAATATCTTATGCGATTTTTTAGATTAAATTTACCGGATTTAATTTATCGGATTGAATTACCGCATCTGTAGTCAAATTTAGATAATAGTTTATATAATTGTATTAATCTAATTGTTTTCATAGTCTTTCAATATTTAATGTTAGCGAAACTATTGGAATTCTTTTTGGTGTGTTAAAAATTTGATAAATATGTATCAATAATCATATTTCAATTAAAACATCAAAATTATTGTTAATTAAAAGAAATTAGTATGCCTTTTAGTTGATTTATATTTGATGAGTTTAAATATAAAACTCAATGTTACTATGAGAAAATATTTTATAATAAAACATTCAACATATTATTTGACATATTTCAACATTATATGCAAACTTTATAGATTGACATCCAATGAAATTTACTATAAGGACTTTTCGGTTAGTATTAAAATACAGAAAAATTTCAAAAAAATCTGCATCAAATACTATACATGGAATATTGTTGCAACAAAACGAGATTAAAAAAAATCATCAATATGAAACTAGATTGTTTATGCTACAAGAAAAAGTACATAACACAATCATTACACACAATTTAATATTGAAGTAAAAAAACAATCCCAAAGAAAAAATTAAAGGAAAGGTATCAATTAGCAACTCAACATTTTTTCGAATACCAATAAGTATTTTATTGAGTACCAATAAGCAATTTCTACAAGTGTTTAGGATATCACTGAACTATCAAATGATATGTACGTTATTCTAGAAAATGTTGCAAAACTAATTGTCAATTTTAAAAATTGTTACTGAAATCATGCAACTTTTTTTAAGAAAAAATTCTAACTTGTTTCCGCGAGCTCGTGGAAACCAAACTTGTTTCCGCGAAGAGCAACCAACTTTTACAAAAAAAAAAAAAATATGTTTATAGCGGAAACAATGTCTGTTTCTGCTAACTCACAAAAACAGACCTTGTTTCCGCTCGAAACATGCAACATTCATTCTAAACCTGCCAGCATTTATATATACTAAGTCAAGCATTTTACTATGTACCGGTCAGCATCTTGTATTTTAACAAGCAGCATGAGTATTAAGCAGTAATTGTTACGAAAATATAATCAATTGATCAATCACCAATTAAAATCCAATCCATCGATCAACACCAACAATCTATTCAAGTTAAATCGAGCGATCAATACCAACAGTTCCTTCAAATTCAATTTATCAAAATCAACAAATCAATCATCACACTTAATTTTTGTCTTGCCCACGACCTCGTCCTCGCCCCAAACATTTACCCTAAACTGCACAATGGAAAAAACAGAACTCAAAATAGGTGACATAGAAAAAGATGAACATTTATCATAAACTGCACAATGGAAAAAACATAACTCAAAATAGGTAACATAGAAGAAGATGGACATTTATCCTAAACTGCACAACGGAAAAATCAGAACTTACCGAAAATTGCCTCCATGGATGCACCCAGTGTCGTCAATTTGAAGTACGGTACAGAGAGTTGAAGAAGACGAATTGGAGATGATGCGCGAGGGAAGGGTTTCGTTGAAGAATGCGATTTGAAGACGAAATGGAGAAGATTAATGATTTGAAAACGAAGGATCCCTATACGGTACAGAGAGTTGAAGAAGACGAATTGGAGATGACGCGCAAGGGAAGGGTTTCGTTGAAGAAGATGATTTGAAGACGGAATGGAGAAGATTAATGATTTGAAGACGAAGGATTCCTATACGCCTGTAAATCTTTAAAATAAAAATTACTATATTTCCCGTTCCAACGCGTCTGGTATTTGGAAAGGCGTTGGATCATCCAAAATTGCAATCTCTTCGATGTTTCCATTGCTTGTTGAGCGGTTGAATGAGGTTGGAATAATAGATAATTGATTCTGCTCACCTTCGTCGATATCAACCATTAAAGAATTAAGGAGAATGAAGTATGAAGAATGACGTTTCTCCTTCATCGATTGCTGCGTGAAAGAACGAAGGAGAGTGAGATTTGATGTAGTTACCTAAATTAGGGTTATTAAAATTATAACTACACCCTTAATCTAATATTAGCCATTGGATTAAAATTTTTAATTAAATGGCTAATATGCAATCAGCATAACGCTGATGTTTAATTTTCAGCATGGAATCCCACCCCATATTTTTACTATGCAAAATTAATGTAAAATTCCAGCGGTTACTGTAATGGAGAAGGGTGCTGATTTGTTTTGTACCCTTCGGTCGCGGTCAAGTTATATCATAAGGCCCCGTTTGGATTAGCTTCTGGCAGGAGCTTTTGGCTTCTACTTCTAAAAAAAAAAAGCAGTTTGCACCTGTTTGCATTGGCTTCTGTCAAAAAGCAGAAGCAGCTTTTGAAGCTGAAATCAGAGCCACATGGGTAACTTTTGAAATAAAGAGAAGTACTTTTCAGTTTTAAAATTACTGTTTTATCCTTAATAATAATAATAATAATAATAATAATAATAAATACAATAATATAATATAATATAAAAATAAATAACTTATATATATACTTATATTTTAATACAAATTAAAAAATATAATTAATTTATTATTTTTAATTTATGTACTATATTTAGATTGAAATTTAAAATTTAAATATGGAATGTAAATAGGAGTAAATAAATTTTTTAATTATACTTAAATTACTAAATATAATTTATAAAATTTTAAAATAAATTATAAAATACAAATTATATAATATTATACTGTAATTTTATGTTTAATTGATATATTATTCTTAAATTAAAATTTTAAAATATAAATCAAAATTTAAAAGTACATTTTTTATACTTTAATTTAAAATCTTTAAATATAATTTATAAAATTTAATTTAAATTAAATTATAAAAGTGTTATAGAAAAATACTAGCATTATATTAACAACATGTCCTTTTAAGTAATTTTAACCGTTTAAAATCACTTTCAACTATATAACGTCCAAACAGTTTTTTACGAAAAGCTGCTTTTATAATGATTTATCCAAACACAAAATCAATCGAACTGCTTCTACTTTTGGCTTCTGCTGATTTTTTAAGCCAATCCAAACGGACCATAATACTTTTTGTTTATTTTAATAGTTATATGTGTTTGTGTTTCGAGTAATATTTTGCAAATATATTTTTATTTTTTATATATTATGGAGATTTGCTTATCAATTTAGCATATATTGCTTATTCATTTGTTTAATTTTGTTAATTTAATTTTTTAGAAATTTAAATAAAATAATCATTTGTACTGAAGTTAATGTACTAAACACTTTTTTTCTTTATTCACATATTACTTATATTATAGAGAACAAATACTTACATTATAATGAACACATTTTACCACGTAACGATCATATTGTAAAATTAGCATATTATTACGCTTAAAAAAATATATTTGTAGTTTAGCGCATATTTATATTTAAAGATAAAATACTTACATTATAATGGACATATTTATCACACAGAAAACACATTGTAAAATTAGCATTTTATTACGTTTAAAATAGCACATTTGCATTTTATCGCATATTTATATTATAAAAGCCAATGCTACGATACAATGAGCACATTTCAGCATATAGCAACCACATTGAAAGTTTAGCATATTATTACATTTGAAATAATATATTTGTAATTTAGCACATATTTATATATAAATAGCAAATGCTTATATTATAATGAGTATATTTCAGCATACAAGAAGCACATTGTAAAATTAACATATTATTACATTTAAAATAACATATTTGTAGTTTAGCACATATTTATATATAAACAACAAATGGTTACACTACACTGAGTATATTTCGGCACACAACAAACGTATTGCAATATTAACATACTATTATGTTTAAAATATCGCATTAGTTTAACACATATTTACATTATAAAAATGCAACACTTACACTATGAAAAGCACATTATTATTTATTCATTTGTTTAATTTTGCTAATTTAATTTTTTTACATATTTAATTTAAAAAATCATATATGTTAGAATGAGAGAATAGGAGAAAGAAAGAGAAATTATAATGCAGATTCGTATTCCTTACTACGAAAGAAAGTGTAAATTTACAATTATGCCCTTCTTCTTCTTGTTAATTTCAACAATTGAATTCATTATTAATTCAACAGATTAGGGCTAATCAACACCATACTTATTAGCCCTAATCAACATACTAACGAGAGCGTGGTAGAATATATCAAATATTTAGATAAAATATTACATTAAAAAGTTAACATTATATATATATATGATATAATGTTCTGCATAAAGAATATGTATTAAATATATGGTTTAATGTGATATTTTATAAGCGAAAATAATATATTTTTATCGAAAATCATACAATTTATTATCATATAATATCGGTTTATATCAATACTAAAAAATTAATTATTTGTAGCGAGTATATAGTTCGTAATAGTAAGACCGTAACAAAACGTAGGTTTAGTTACGAAATTTATCGTAATAAAAGGTTTTTTTTATTTGGTCAATGATCTTTTTTGTTTCAACAATTTGACCGTAACAAATACAATTATTACTAGATATTGTCCTAAATATTTTTGGTACAAATGTCAAACTTCAACAAATATATATTTTTGTTATGAAAAAATATAAAAAATTGATAAATTTGTATTTTAAAAAGCAATTGTTGATGTATTTTTTCAACAAACAAAAAGTAAAATTAAAAGATATGGAAAATATCCTTAAATTTGATTAATTAGCGTCTGAGATTAGGAATCTCTAAACACTGTACGGTACATAAAGAAATTAACTGGAAATTTAAAGTGGTGATCCCCGTATCTAACTTTGCTTTGTTGAAGTTGATTGAAGATGTCTTCTCCAGAAAAATCTAAATCCTTAAATATTCCTTGAAGAAAACGCTTGGAACCGTCGCCAGCAACCGCCCAAGACGAAACGTTTTGAAACGTCGCTTGGTCAGTTACAACAACCGTCTCGCCAAGTGCATAACCCAACCGACTAATCCAGCGACTAACTGGTCGCTAGACCAAAAGACTCCTTGGCCGCCCCCACCAAGCCACCAAACTATTGTTCACTTAAGTGGGCAGCCGACTTTACTTGGTCCGACCACGTACCAACCGACTTGCTTATCCGACTGCAGCCCATTCGACCTGCTTATCCGACCGCAGACAATCCGACCCGCTTATCCAACTGCTGACCAACCGACCTGCCTATCCGACCTGCTGACCAACCGACCTGCAGACTTTCTGACCTATGGACCATCCGACCCGCTAACCAACTGACCTGACTATCCGACCGCATACCTTCCGACTTGCAGATTTTCCGACCTATGGACCATCCAACCCGCTAACCAACCGACCTGACTATCTGACCGCAGACCTTTCAACCTGCCGATCAACGGATCGCAATCGCTGGTCTGTGAGGATGCTGGAGTCTCCTTAACCTCTTGTTATTTGAGTTACTCTATTCGAGATTTCCCCCTACTTGGTTTGTCGGTCTCTGTTTGTTCGTGTCTCGTCACACTCGGTTGAAAACCGGAGTTACAGAACAGCCGTCAATGGGGAAGTTGGGTTCTTCTTCGGTTTTGCTCAGCTTATTTTCCTTTCAATTATTGGATCATTTGTATCTCTCAATTGTTGTCCTGCTTTGTGTATCGGTTGTGTCGATAGGCTCTGCTCTTTGTGTTTTTGTTTGCTTGTTGTTTGGTAGTCTTGGAGATGATTGAGTAAGGGATTTTGGTCATGGTTGGTGGCATTCAACCATGGATGAAGTTTGGTCCCAACCTCGACCAAGTTATGAAGAAATGCTCAACCCTTCTTCTTGCCCTCAAGGTGTTTGTGAAAATTCCTCTTCCAAGTTTTTTTTGTCTATTGATCTTCAGTCTCAATTCGGTTCAGCTTCTAAGATTGGAAAAGTATTTTGAGTTTCATTTTCCAAGAAAGAAACATCTGATTTGGTTTTTGATTTCAACTTTGCCCTTGTTGGGAAGTTCTCCCATGGCTATTGGTCGTGGAAAGAGCTCTTAGCTTCCTTCGATAACCTCACATCGTCCGGTAAATTTTCAATCCTTCGTATGAACTATAAATACATTTTGATACACCTGTCAAAAAAAGAGGATTATTCTAGGCTTTTGATGTTGATACACCTCTCTTTGCTAAATATATCTTGTTCGGTAAAGTTTCAATCATTCGTATATGTGCTTTACATGTTGAAAAAACTGAGCTTCCTCTAAAATTTCTTAATGCAAACTATGATTCAGTCATGATGATTTCTTACATGGTTGATGGCCAATGATACCTTATCATTAATAGGGAGGCAAACGAAAGAAATAAAATTAAATTGCATTCTTAACAAGTATGAATATAAGTGACCAATCAGTGTAATCATCCACTGCTTTCCATTGATTATGTGTCTTAAGTTGATAAATTGCAAGTATTAGATTTTTTTTTTAATTTTTTTTATTGGAACAAGTATTTGATGATTTGTTTGCACGGAGTATTGTTGTTGAAAGACAATTGAAAAATAAAGATTAATTTAGCATGATATTTTAAGTATTTGGAGGCTGAAATGCTAAATTCGAATATAAGGCTTTTGGTTTTGGTAACTTTTATGATTCTTGATATATTTGTTCCATAATTTTTTAGTTATTTGTTTATTTTCATTTTCCTTTTAAAATCTCATAGTTTAAGGCGGTAAAGAGGGGTTGCTGGAGAGGACATATGCTATGTGAATCCCTATCTTTGATTGGAAAAGAACATGTGTTATGGAATAAATTAAAAAAGAAGACAGTTGCCCAGCTGGGGTTAAGACTAGACAGATTATCAAGTTTCTGAAACAAATCGAACATCTAATAATGATGGACCAGGTTCTTGGTCCTTTGTACTAGCTGTAGTGCTGTAAATAAAATTGACATGGACACTGACTGCTTGGCTTACGAAATCTTGTGGGAGTACTTGACTATTGAGAAACAAATTGGGCAAGGTGGGTGTGACTTGTGGCACTCATGGTGATAATAATATGTTAAGTATATGTCATTGGACATTTCTTAACTATAATATTCTCCTCCTTAGGTACTGTTAGGTTAAATTTGTAAAGTTTTTGTAAATGTTTATGGTGGCATGACTGCCTTTTATGTTTCATTACCTTTTACAGTTATATTGTATTTATATGCCGGTTCACGTGGAATTGTATATCATACGTGCTGGTATGGATTAGTATGTTCTTTACCTCTTCCTTTCGAGATTCATTCTTTGCCGTTTCATATCACAGGAAAGTTACTACATGGTGTTCTAAATTTCTCATTCCATTGGTTGAGTTATTTTTTAAGTCTCATTAATTATGCCTTTACATTTGTAGGATGCACTATCTTTAACTTCATTTTTTTTTCTTTTTTCTTTTTTTTTTTTTTTAAAACCAAAACCTTCTCCTTAGTTTTTCCTATATTTATGCAATCAATTGCTTGCTTTTCATGTACTAAAGTCTGATACTGATATGATATTATGGAATCTCTATATTATGTAGGATATTGCTGGCAAGGAATTTTTCAAACAAGATTATGCCATCTTTTTCTTCCAACGGACGGTCAGTGCAAGTTCCCATTGTAATTACTTAGAGTAAAGAACTAGTGATTCATAAGTGATTTTATTCTAGATAATATGACTAGTATTCCTAAAATATGCATGTGTATATAGATGCATCTATATTGTGTTTAACTACTCACACTGCACTCCTAAATCCTAGCATTAATATATTAATTTGCTTAATATCTATCTATGTTTCTGTTGTGTAGGTTTTTTTTATGTCCTGATACCACACCCATGTTGTTGTTTAGTTGAAATTAGTTTGTTAATAATTTATAAGTTTTTGCATTCCATTGTCTAGAGTAAAAGTTATCCCAAATCCTAAAACATATACCATGTGAAATGCCTAAGAGCTTGTGTTGTTTTCAATTTTGTGACCAAATGTTTCCCATAAAGAAAATATGAATGATCTAACAAGAAGCTTTGCATTATGATTTCATTTTATCAATTGATTGGTAAGTCCATGGTTTTTCTTTAATAATTTGAGTTGCACATTCGAGAATTTTATCAATTGATTGGTAAGTCCATGAATTTGATTTTTTTTTTTTTTGTTTTATATTATAAATGTGCAGTTGGCATAGTTTCTACTTCCTCATGCTTTCCATTCTCCCGCAAACTCCCAATGATGTTTAAAGAAAATATGAAAAAAAATAAATGGTTAAAATTTGGTTAGAAAGATGAAGTTCTTTTACCAATATTCGTTAGTAATACTTAAGCATGGATATAGAAATATTTAATTACAAATCATATGTCATGTCCAGGAAAATAATTTATGTCAGATACATATACATTTAAACTATCTCCATTGATTGTTATATAATCATCCCTTGTCAAAATCAAGATATAAAACACATGTTGTACTAAATTGTCTTGTCTGATTGGAAAGATGGTTGTAGAAATATTAAGGACATTAAAAAGATGGACAAAAGGATATCCAATAGCTATGGAACCTGTTTTAAAGGTATAATTTTTGACAAATTTATAAGTTGAAGAACTTATGTCAATACCATCAGTGTTAGGACTTGAATCTGGGACTGCCATTTCTAGTCCTGATATTTCAACATGGTTCTTCTGGTTGTTTTCGTGTTTCAATCCAGTGACTTTCAGGTTGTCACATTTCGAAAATAGAATTGCCTTGAAAGTGTTATTGATCTCATTTGATATTAATGATCATAAAATAAGGACTCATGAGATATAGATTAAGATATGTCCCCATGTAACTTGTAAGTAGTAAGTAGTGTACATCGGATGCTAGGACTTACAAATGGTCGATTGCCCCTTGTAATTGAATGGTGAAACGCTTATGATATTAGAGAAATCAAAATTGATTAAAGAAGCAAGATGTAGTTTGCCAGAAATTACTGACAGTTGCATGCCACATTGACTGCCCTTGTCCATTCAAGGATCCCTAACCATTTTCTGTAATGTGAAGCCCCTTCACTCCAATGATCATATCCAACTCTTAGAATTACTTCTTTGTTTTTTCGGTGCAATAGTAGCTCTTAATATCTAGTTAGCACATATTAATGTAGCTATGTTTGCTATCGATGATTTAAGTCTTGATTTCACTTACATATATTTTTTGTTTGTTTGACAAATTTTCTAAAAAATACCTGAAAGTGTTATGTTGGATGCGTTGTAGGAACTTTGAAATTCAGCTTGAGATATCAAAAATAAGTTCCCACTAGGTACTGTAACTGTTGGAGTACCCATGTTAGTACAAGTTGCTTGCCATGCTGATAAAAATGGCTGTATTTTGTTTGGTAATCAGAAGTCCACCCATCAATTCTTAGGTACTGGATTAATACTACTGATTCAATTTTTAGTTATATGTTTTGATAAATATGGTATATGCAGCAAGAATAATATAATTAAGATTTATCTAATTTATGGCATGTGTAATTACTTACTTCCAAGTCATCTAATATTCCATCCTCGATGGCCTCATAATCTATGACATTGATTGTGGATTCCAGAATGACTGCTAATTGCAACTCGGGCTTCCAATCACCAATGGTTATTTCAAACATTAACAAATACAAAATTAGATGATACACCATGTATTCATAATTTCGAATTTGAGCCAAAAGTTATTTTACTAAAGTTTAGAGAATGTATGTATTTAACATATACAAATATATGAACTAGCAAACTAAACTAAGATAAATTTTACTTTATTTTTCTTTTTTATTTTTAAATCGTATATATGTATGTATCAAATATTTGAATGAGGCTAAAGTAGTCATACACTATGCCTTAGAGTTTTGTAGCTATTTTTGACTTAATGACAATAAATTTGAGAATTTTTGTGAATCATGTTTTTTGTAGTTCTTTTTAATTGATCAGAAGCCTAATGTATGACTTCTTGATCGATTTGAGTTCCTCATAGTAATATTGATTGATTGATTCCTATTTTAGGGCCTACAAAAGAGGCTTGAGTTTGGTAGCCATGAATTAGGAACAACATTCTTTCATATTATTAACCTAGTTATTTTAAGTGCACAACATGAAGGCAAAGTTAGCTAAATTTTTGCGGACAATACTTGGCTTTTAGTTTAGATGCATTTTATACATGCATAAAGTTGTCTTATTCGGATAGATCAGGTCATGAAGTATTTTTTGTGGGATCTATAAATTTGTCTTATTCTAATAGATCATGTCATATTTTATATCTGATTCTTGTAGTAGTTTTCAGTATGAACATAAGAGGATTCTATTATAAAAAAACAGTATACAACAATATGATACAACTTGTTGCTGGTGTCTCTTACAGGCTGATGCTATATTACAACATATGCATTATATTACATTTCCGGTTGTTATATTATGAAAAACATTACAAAACATTCAGCTTCTTAAAGACCATGCAACATTTCCTACATGAATAGGCATATTCATGTTCCCATATAGTTGAAAGCTTAAACATTTTAACTTAAATTACTTTTGCATATGAAATATATTTGTAACTAACATATAATGTTTTGTCAAGACGAGTAAATGTTGTTCCTAGAAGAATGTTAATGATAGTAAGAAACAGTTTGGTGTAGATTGGAACACGTGTACTTTTTCTTTCCCGGAGCTTGGAGAAACGTGTTCTCGGCGAAGGTGTGTTGTCCTTCCTTACACCAGATTTATTAAAACTACAAAGGAGCTGATGATTGTGTGATTTTAGATCTTGTTTGATAATATATTAATAAATTTATAGAGGTAACAATTAACTTCAGGGTTTAGTTTATTTGAGTAGGAGCAATAATATGATTATGAGAAATTTCTTTATTAATTATTGTGTTGTTTGGTGATTCCAGCAATAATATTGGCTTGGCAAAGTATTTGTCACAGTTGTTACGGTCCCTAAGACCCCACTTATACACCCTAAGAATGCCGGAGAGAAGATCCTTGGTGAGGTACTCGTTGGAAATAACATTGAATGGATATACCAACATGTATGTATTTTTTTATTAGTTTTACTATTTAGGGAACTAAAAATTTAAATTGTAGTAATAAATTGTTACATATATTGGCTTCTCATTGCAGCCGGTTTGCCGCCCTTGATTTCTTGCCTTTGTGATTCTGCAATTGACGAGCTTGATCGTACGAAGTAGTTGTTCCTAGCTTTCTTCAAAGATTGTATTTTCTGTTGATGCTGGATTGAACTTCTTAAGTATTATATTTTTAATTTGGGGATCTTGTATTAGTTAGTTGTTATGATGGTTTAGGGCATGGTTATAGTTAGTGATGTTTCAAAGTACCTATAACGGTTATAGTTCTACTTTTGTCATGTCTATGAACGTCGTTGGATTGACGTCATTTTGTAAGACTTGTAAAGTTTTTCGGATTATCTATGTAGAATTATGTTTTTAGTTATTTGTTACGCAGCTGGGTCCGTTACAAATACGACGTCGAGTGCATTTTCTTTTGTGGCACTAAAAACTTTATTTGACACGGATATTCCATTTGTATTGTATTTTTTGTTACGGATATTTCTCGGAACAAAAGGAGTTTCACGGTGACATGTCTTTCGTACCGCTTTTTTTGTTACGAACTAGTTTCGTTACACAAATCCTCTGACATGGTTCTACTTTTGTAGCGTATTTTTTGTTACGGAGATATTCCATCACAAAAGGTTCTTTGACAATATTACCACTTTTGTATCGTATGTTTTGTTACGGATATATTTCGCATCGAAAATATAATCAAACCTTTTGTTGCGGCTGAGAAACGTAACAAATACATTTAGCACGTGCATATTAAAGGCGTTGACTGCCGGTTATTTGTTACGACTTTTGTCACAACAATGACTTTTTGTACCGCGATTTTTCGTAGCGGTCAAAATCCGTAACAAAGTTGACATAAAAGGCTTTTTTGCACAAAAATTGAGCTTTTGTTACGAAATTGTGACCGGTACAAAAAGCCAATTTTTTGGTAGTGTATATTGGATATATGTTATATGAATATGCACATTGTACTACTAATTTTATATTTTATGATAGTTTAGACTTTTGATTAGGCAAATATGCATTATGCACCAACATAACCACCAATAAAGTATAAGTTAGTAGTACAAGGTGATCGTTTGTGGCAGTGGCACAACAACGAAGAAGAATGTGGGTTTTCTTTGGTTAGATTTTGACAATCGGTCCAAATTGGACAAAATTCTAAAGAACTAAATATAGTTTCAAATTTTAAAAAAATAAATAAAAATTATGTGTTGCCACGTGTTGTTGATATTTCGGATGCATGTCACATCTACACCGGTGAATCACATCATTGTCAACGTATCAAATCCGGCGTCGTAGAACTATTTTTTAGAATAAAAAAACTGTGGGATGATTTTCATACAATGTCCAATTAAAATTCTGAAAGTGATCAAATGAATTCAAATGTGAGACTAAAAAAAAAAAGAATATAGCCTATAATATACTCCCTACGTCCCAATACAATGATCTCGTTTACAATTTTTGTCTGTTTCATAACAATAGTCTTATTTCTATAAGCAATCTAACATCATAAAATAATTCTTACTTTTTCATTATTATTACAGTATTACTACTTTTTAAACTAACAAACTCACAAGGTCAATAAGGTCTTTTAACTATACTTTTATCAATTATCAATATAATATTAATATTTCTTAAATTCTGTGTCCAACACAAGTAAGACTATTGTTTCAGGATGGAGGGAATATTAATTAACCTATCAATAAATAGTACATTTTTTTTCAATAGTCAAAACAATGCAGATTTGTTTGAATTTTCAAATAATTGTACATCTTAAACAAATTGATACACATAAATGCAAGCAACTGCTTCATAACCTCAATTAACCGATCTGATAAAAAAACACAAGATATTTGATATTTGGCTTTTTCTCAATGATCATAACATGTACAAGATATTTGTCTTAAATTTGCATGTATGATTTTTGTGGGGAGAAAAGACGATTTTCGGAAAACAAATTCGATGTAATACTAGAGGTTATCAAGGTTACCTTCATTTACCATCATCATACTACAAGTTTTCCTATGTATCCAACACCGTACCAATAAACAAACAAGATATTTTCTCAAACAACAATGGTAAGTGAGACGATCACTGGCATGTCCACCAAATTTGGCAAATTAAGTTTGAGGGTTTGAATTTCCATACATGGACACAGAAGATGTCTTTCCTCCTCACTACTTGAAGGTAAGGTGATCTATTATATTGAGCATTCTGTGTCTATTATTCGACATCTACCAAAAATTTGACTCCATGCACCAAATAATTTTGGGAAATTTTGGAGTCAAAATGCATAGCCGATGATGCATCTAGCAAATAGTTTCTTGTTAGTGACTTTAACAACTATAGGATGATGAGTGACTTTTGTTAAACTTTGAGAAATACAAAGAGTTGGTGAGGATCTTGGGCCTATTTGTGCAGCAAGACCTCAAGATGGATGAAATTGTTGTCGTTTCATCAATAATTGACAAGCTTTCCCGTGTGTGGAAGGACTTCTTCAAGTGCACCTTAAAACATAAAGAGGAAATGTCTTTGGCGCAACTTGTAAGTGAATTGTGCATGAAACATTGGCCACAAACGCAAATTGGAAGGCTCTAACAAAGGCGACAACAAGAAAAAAAAAATGGTTTGTTGGATTTGTGGCAAAACAAACCATTTCAAAAGAGATTGTTGGTTATAATGATAGTGCTAACACTAGCTGATTAAGAAAAGAATATAATGATCCATCCAAAAACAAAGGTCTTGATTTAGTGAATATGTTGAATAAATCTTACAAAGATATGATACAACTAATCTTTAGATCTTTTTATGTGCCAGATGATGAGTATGTATGATGGATCGATTCCAGTGTCACAACACATGCACGTAAGATCCCTGTTGGTTAAGGGACTTTTATCTCGTGGATGATGGGCTAATTCTTTACAAGGGAAACAATTATTATGCCCTCATTAAAGGAAGATACAAAGCGGTGCTGGATTTTTAGTTCTAGGAATACTATTACTTTAAGTAATGTATTGTATAGACTTAGGTTGCGTAAAAACTTGGTGTCCATTTATATATTAAATAAATTGGGCTATAAACAAGTGTGTGAGTCAGATAAGTATGTTTTATCTAACCATGATGTAGTTGTGGGGTTTAATTATTTCTTATGGCATGCACAAGTTGGACATGTTCATTACAAACGAATGCGTAAATTGTTGGAATATATAGGTATTGTGCGAGAGTAAACTCTACCGTGAAACCTAGTCGAGGATGGATCCTCTTTCCGAAAATTAGATACGCCCCGGTAGTGCCTCTGGTGGTTGGCGTTCTAACATAAAGATAAAACAGTTTTCGTCTCCAATGAGAGTGACACCTCTAATCGTTGGAGCTCCGACGAACAAAAACGAGAGAGAAATTGAGCTGGGGAGGTTGCCGGAAAGCTAGAAGAGATGAGAGAAGGATGAGAGAATTTTTGGTGTTGGTGTTTAGAATGAAGGGGGGAGACCCTTTACATAGGCGTCTCCACTCGGCCAAAATGGCAGGGGATCAATTACGATCATAATTACAACCTTAATTATCGATGTAATTTATTCTAAATTCAAACCTTCCGTTTGAAGCAATCGTAATTTATTCTAATTACAAACTTTATGTTTGTGACGATTGTAATTTATTCTAATTTCAAACCTTCTGTTTGAAACGATTGTAATTTATTCTAATTTCAAACCTTCCGTTTGAGAATATAATAAATCTATCCAACGGATAATATTTTATCCAAATAATAATGCGACTTAGGCCATATACCCGGGCTTAATTTGGAGTTGCACAATTTGGTTTGTCTCGAGACAGGCAAAATAGTCAAAATATTAACCAAATCCTATATATAATAAATAAATAATATTTATTTATTTCTTCCAAATTAATCTAATTAATTTGATACACCGGTCCGTCGTATTTTCACTCACAAAATAATCAATTGCAAAATATCCGATTATCCAACAATCCCCCACATAAGTGGAAATGCCCATAAAGGATAGAAGCTTAGTTCAATTCCTGTAAGACATTGACAAATCAGGACAGGTAGTTTTTGGCTTTGAACCTTCCATAGTCAATATTACAGAGTGTACTGGTGGCCCAGTTGACGTGATGTATGGAACTGTTCCACATCTGCGTGCACTTAATCAATAATGTTAACGTGTCGCTATATCATTCTCAACCTTGTTCTCACGTTTTGATCCATTTCGGCCATGGATCTCGTCTTTGGATTCATAAGTGTTTTGTTTGAAGCGGCTCACACTTCACACTTGTATAGGTGATCCTATCTCAAGGTATCTAACTCACATCTTTAAGATCATTAAGAGTCATTTACTCAACCTCACCACTTTTGCACATTATAACACTCATTGCTTTTCAGGAAATTGTAATTGAGTGTTCGTGCCGGACTCTCACAACCTAGTTTTTCCATTGAACCAAATGGGATTTCCAAGTGATTTGGTTGCGTTTACCACTGTAATTGTCTCTATCTTGTGGATTTCAAACTCATTCCCTTTAGCAGTTTGTACATTTGATCTCTCTACAACCCTTTGGTTAGCAGATCTGCTAGATTTTCTAATGATTTTACATATTCAATAGTCAAAACCCCACTGGTGATCAAATGTCTTACAGTGTTATGTCTACGTCGGATATGTCGGGATTTACCGTTGTAAATTCCATTCTTAGCCCTTGCTATTGCAACTTGGCTATCGCAGTGAATCATTACGGGGGGGGGGGGGGGTACTGGTTTACTCTAGTATAGAATATTATCCATAAAATTCCTCAGCCATTCGGCTTCTTCGCTAGCTTTGTCCAAGGCAATGAACTCTTATTCTATTGTGGATCGTGCAATGCATGTATGTTTTTTGGATTTCCACGAAACGGCTCATCCTCCAATCATAAATACATATTAACTTATATACAGTGAGTCTTTTGTATCGGATATCCAATTGGCATCGCAATACCTTTCGAGTACTGGTGGATATTTTGCGTAGTGTATGCCAAAATTCAGAGTAAATTTACGATAACTTAATACTCTTACTAGCACTTTCCAGTGTTCATGACTGGGGTTGCTAGTGTATCGACTCAGCTTGTTTACAAGGCAAGCCAGGTCAGGCCTTGTACAATCTGTTAAGTACATTAGGCTTCTAATAATTTTGCAATAGTCTTCTTGAGCCGGGGTCTCTCATATTTTTGCCCAAGTGTACGCTAAGATCCATTGGGGTATTCACTGGAATGTTTTCGTAGGCATTGAACTTTCTCAGTATCTTTTCCACATAATGAGACTGAGTCAGAACAATACATTCGTCTTGTCTTAGAATCTTCGTTCCAAGGATGACGTCGGCTACCCCCCAAATCTTTCATGTTGAAGTTACGAATCAACATGCATTTGACCTCATTGATCAAACTGACCTCTTTAGCCATGACCAGTAGGTCGTCTACATAAAGAAATATTATGATAAAACCGGAAGGTGTTTCTTTGATGTAA